ATGGCGAACCCGAGACGGGCCACATCAATGGCTAGAGATATTGTCAGACACGGCCCAGTCGCGCCATCAATGGCGCTCGTGCATCCAAGCTATTGCCTTCGATGCATAGCTCCTTTCCCAATCCCCCTACGTGACAGCCCACTGACAGTGCTGGATTTATGCACCAATTTACCAGCTCGCGCGTGCAGTGCGCAGCTACCTACCCCCCAATCATCGGTGAACGAAACTGCGGCAGCTACAACCACTGTACGACGAGTACGCGGTTATTACAGCTGACAATGATGATGATGATGATGACATATTGCGACCTTTTTGTACTGATAGTACATTGCTGTCCTTACCAAGTGCTTCTCTGACTCGAATTCCTGGGAACATCTTCGGGACTATTTGCGAGTTACGTCTAACCGCCTGCGCACTATTGATCGACTTCGCTGGCCAGGACAAAGTACATGGTATTAGGATGGTTGCATGTCACCTACTTTTTCCTCTTCTAACCGCATTGAAGTAAATTTTATATTCGCTTTAGTTTAGTGGTTCTTTCGCTTTGAAAACTTGTATCAGTCCAACTACCGATTGCACATATTTCGTACACAAGCTTGTGGAATCGCGTATGTATTCTTTGGTATATGGCCTGCTTGTGGATTCAATGAAGCTGGGACCAGGATAGTCTTACCCACATGAATCGTTGGGTAGGCGATCAGTTGGCCAACTAAATCGATCATTCTGCCGTTGCCTGAATGACTTCCAGCCAAAGTACAGGAACGGAAAATAAGAGGATTCCGCACAAAGGGTTGACTTTTTGTCTTGGTTTGCAATCCCGTTGGTTTGTAGGTATTCCGAATGGGCTAAGAATGGAGCTTCTAAGGTTTTGATACTGCTAGGCCCAAGCAATTGTTGTGTTGAGACAGGACTCTAACCACGAAACTCGTTATGAGGATCTTGAGTCTTAGCCTTCCAACTGATTCAGTGAACTGTCTTTCAAGACCGGCTTTTATCAGGTGATTTGGTGTGGCTGTTACACTCATCACAGTTCATCGTCTGCTTTTGTAGGAACTCCAGTAAAACTTGGATCATATTGTATGGAGCATGGAATCAATTCAGCTTGTGTTGGAATCAGCCCTTAAAGACAATCCCTACTTCAGTGCAGGCGCTGGTCTATTCGGTGTTGGTCTTGGTGTGGCCATGCTACGACGGATGGGTCAGCTCTCCAGAATTATCCTTCGCCGCAACTTCACACAGACTCTGGAAGTGGCGAGTAATGACAAGGCTTATCCCTGGGTCCTCCACTGGATCAGCACACGTGCCTCTACCAACGCAAGTCACGATGCTTCACAACAAAGTTGGTTCGGTCGGAGGCCAGGTGGTCCGAATCAGCACTTGAGCGTTGAGACGAATGTAGTCCGTACAGAAGGTGGCAGGATCCGGGTAGCCTTTGACTTTGTTCCCAGCACAGGCGTGCACTATATGTTCCATCGACGTCGATTAATCCGCATTGAACGAGTGCGGGCACAGCAGACCATGCAAGGTGCAAGCGTGGCTCCATTTGAAAGTGTCACGCTGACTACTTTCGGCCGCAATACCCAGTTGTTCATTGACCTGTTGGAAGAGGCTCGGGAAGCCGCAGTCGCTCGGGAAACCGGATGGACTGTGGTCTATAAAGTATTGCTTTTCAGTGGTTCGTTTTACGTATACTTTTTTGTGTTTGGAATGGAATACGATTAACGAATCTAAGCTTCTTTAGTCTGTTATTACTGGTTTTCCAGTAGATTTTTTTTCCGCTCACGAGGCAACGCAATATTATTTCTTTTGTAAGCATTTTCATCCCTTATAGTGGTCGTCACAATTACGTATGTCTTAAATTTACGATCAAGGTCGGATTATTTCTGTGGGCTTAACTGGTATAGCATGTGTGGACGAATGCATCTTTTCAAATATCTCATCGCTGGTCTGAAGAAAATGCTGACCAGATAGTACCTACCAAACTTCGGTCGGATTCAGTCCTGCTTAAAATCACTATCGACTACAGTCACATCGTCCGCTAAGCCTCGTTCCTAGACTTAGAGTCACTGAAAGTAGGATGCGATTGCCTGACCACATAAGCGGCGACGTCCGAACAAAACACCGTTTGATGCGATTTCACCGAGGACTTTAGCCAACCCGGGACCTGTAGGAATTTCCGTTCGCGTATCTTCACTTGGATTCAAAAGGGCTTTAAGTAGATACTGCTGCTTAAGTGGCCAATCAATCGCCTTTTCATCTCTACACAGCCCTCAGAATCCGTGTCAATTTTAGGGACCGTTTTCACTCCTGTTTCGATTGGTTTCATCTCCCCTATGCATGTTTGACACAAACTGTGACCTGGAAGAGATTACCTTTGTTCACTCTGTTGCCCGAAGTGAGCTACGGTCAGTGATGTAAACGGTGATGATGAACAAGTCACATGAGCATTCTATCGGTACAATTTTGAATTTCACGGAGGTCCTGACATTTTCTACGTGCTTTCATCTCACGCGGCTGAAACGAACGACCAGACCCAAAGGTTTCGTGTTGTGTTTGGGTGTTGTGGCCATACTGACTTGTGGTCTTTGTGGTCGGATAGAGAGCGACCGTCACCAATGCTCATAGGGACTGATACAGGATAAAACAGTCCGTTTGTCATGATTTCGTGTTGCAATTGAAAAAATGGGATTCACCAATGATTGGTGGTTGCATGAATCGATTCATTTTATCCCGGTAGGGATTTGTGTAATTACATTGTTTTGCTGTGCAAGTAAAGCAGTGATTCGGACATGTCAACGGATTAGTATTCACTGAAATGTGAAGTAATTCGGGAAGAACATCATAATGACAGTTATTCACAGTTCGTTCACATTGCATCTCAGTTTATGAATCATTATCAAATAGGCGGACCTTTCCTCATAGTCTCCTTTTACGGAGTGTACTAGTATGGCATTCGTTCTCTGAGTCGCGCAAACAAGATTGGTTAATCACCCTCGACTCGGCTTGTGTGCACAGAAAATCATGATACAAGCCAACAAACTCGATTCGTTCATCAGACGTTGAATCCTTTCTAGCGTTCCTTCATTTTGTGGCGTAATTTAACTGCAAATTTATGTAGTTCGATTGCAGCTGCTGCTGTTGTTTTGAATTCCTTTTTTGCGCGTGAACACTGAACACATGTTGAACGATTCAATCTGGTTTATCTGTGTGGTTCGGGATTACCCCGGTCACCTGTTTGGCTTCTCCGGTTCACATGCTTCATGTCCTTCGGTAAGGATGCCGAGTCCTACCACTCAGGTGGTTTCCAGAGCACTCGTAATCGAAGGACCGGGGTAACAGTCTATTTCGTTTGTCGTTAGCATAGAAAGGTTCGGAGATTTCAATGAATTGCCTTCCTGTATGTGAAGCTAATCTATACTGAAGAGCCGACGGGTGCTCCTTATCTGTTTCGTCCTTTTTGAGTATCACCAGCCGTGCACATATCACAAATCTGCAGGGGGATTCTAGCTCGGAACCTCCTGGCTGGTAGTCGGGGCGTAATGAATTTTCGACATTGCTAGATGTATGCCCACATGTTGTCAATAGTCTCAAACAAGACATGTCAGAAAAGAGTTTGACTGTTTGAGTAGCACACCAGTCTATTTCCCGATTGGAAATTACGTATGCACTCGGGGGATTCCAAGTTACTTGGCAGATTCTGTCAGCCGTCGTGCAACCGCGTCATAGGGAGAACGGCTTACTTTAAGGGCAGGGGGCTCACCGAGTAGCTTAGCTTAAGGATCGTTGGTAGCCCATATGTACGCGGTACTGCCGTACCTGACTACTGTGTTGTTCGAGGACGGTGCGACGTTAGGTTAGGCAACCGCTATTCGAGCCCCCGTCTTGTTCAAGCAGGCTTTATTGTGTTTTTAAAAATTTGTTTCTTTTAAGGTAATCCGAAACATTTTGGGTGCGGTCAGTTTTAACAAAAGGAGGATAGCACAATATTTTCTACTTAGGCTTAGAGAACGCTGTCTCTATCTCCTAGAACGAGCTCCTGTGGTAAGACGTGACAACGCTTCTGTGAAAATGTCTACAGGTTCCCTCCTAAATTCATGCGTAGTGTAGTTTGGTACCAGTGGTAAGATCATTTTGTGATTGGATAGTTCCCAACGGAGCCTATGGCTGTTTTGTTTTGTCTTTGTAACGGACACATGACGTCTGCCCGAAACAGCTAGAAAAATTTAGAACGAAGCATCTCAGAGCGGAGTTCAAAAGCAGGCGACCCTTAAGTAATTTGATTTCTGTTCGCTTTTGATGCGGTTCCCACGTAAGGCTTTTAGTGTGTCTAATAGAATAGAGATTTAGGTATACAGCCTTGGCTGAAAGCTGCTGTACTGGTCGCAACCAAAAGTTGCACTCGGATTTCGACCGGTCTCACCATACTGCTTACAAACAGTAATACTTTGATATCTTGGGCGACCTGGGACAATCTATGCCGCATTTCCGGTCGACCAACATCACAAACGAGAGCCGCATTCGGAGGTTTTTCTAGTCTGATGTTCAAGTCAGTGCTTAGTGGTTTTCTGATTTGGTCGAAGCGGATCCGATGATGAACACCAGCATTTCTAATGAGGCCATCAGTTAATATCCACTCGTTGAACGACGTCTACAATCATCCAGGGTTTTCTGTTTGTTACTCCCAAACGTTTCACGAACCTCCTCACTTGAGCTGCACTCAGTTGTTCCCAGAATTTTCATTCAGATTCTTCATCTTGGCAGTTGAAGATCCTTTGCTGGGCTGAAGTACATTAAAACTGTTTTAACATCCGGTTAGTACCATATCATATCAATTTGGGATTGTGCTTTTTACGTTGATGGACTCACCGCGCCTTCGTGTCTACTTACTAAAAGTAAGTAGCTGGAAATTGAGCGAAACTGAGAACAGGCCAACAGCCGCCAAACATTCGAATTCACGTGCAAATGAGTGATTGTTGCATGGGAAAGGAACTTCCTCGTTTTCCACTTTTTTATCCGACCAATACCTTTACTCACTGCCCTTATGTTTTTAACTTTATGATTTCCTTTATTCACTTATGTCACAGGCTCTTGGCTCAGACTGGAGGCAGTTCGGTTATCCGCGTCCGAGACGGCCACTGGACTCAGTGGTACTGCGTAAAGGTGTAGCAGAGGCTCTGGTGGCTGATGTTCGTGAATTTATAGGTAATTCGGATTGTTTCTGTTCGTTTCCATCATACTGCTTTTTGCTGGACAATGAGCTTGGTTCAAGCAACTGAAGGGAGTTCATGTTGTACTGGGGCAGCGAAATACGGGAAGCATCAGAGTCACCTGGTTCGGGAATTTGGGAATGTATGCCACATTCAGAGAGCTGGTAACAGCTGGAACTGCTGTATACAGCGTATAACCGGTGTTGGCGTTTATTTCTGATGTACCACCTATGTATCACAGCAGCTTGGATTTAATAGAATGACACAAGTGCCGCGCTTCCCCATTGCACACAGTAATACTTCTGAGTTATCCATTTCCTCGTGTCATTTCGAAATACCGAGCGGAGTGATTGAGTCCACTCGCCTTAGAGGTTAAATTTTGATGTGACAGAAGTACAGGCATGTATCATCCTCGCACCAGCTACCTTTGTTACCGTGCTTCATCTGTGGCGCCCGATGTTGCTAAGTGGCGCTTGAAATAACTGACTGATTAAGCTGCAAATCTACCGATTGGATAGTCCGGCATCTCGGCTGGTCCTGTCTAGGATTTAACACCCTGACAGCATCACAGTCCTGTTACTTTTATCGGGCGACGTATCAATTAGGCAACAGAAGGATATTACGGCTGAGCGTCATCTATCCTGACAGTTGCGGATACTAGCACAGGAACATGAGGGCAAGTGTACTTTATGGCTGCGGAACTTGACTTCTTTTATTTGATTACCCCTACCGTTTGATCATCAGCGTCTTTGGAGCGTAGTAGGCGTTACGTTTTTGTAGCGTATCCACATTGAGGTTGTCTTCAAACGAGTACTAGGTAGCGAGGTGGAGTGGTCAGTTATAGGTAGTTTTAACGTGCATCACATATGCGTAGCCACAAGGAGGCAACGTTTTTCACTCTAAGCAGTCTCACATCTCTCAGTACATCCTACCTCATCGTCGAGTCAGCTTTCGGGTTCTGTCGTGACATTTTACGACTCCCACAGTCTCTTCTCGAATTTTATTTCTAGCTCTCTTTAAAAAATGTTTTACAAAGGCTGTAGATTTCCGGACATGGTCAATTAACCAGTGAAAGGCTTTGAATCGAACCGCACGATTTTTCTCACTTGGAAACTAGCAAGCTGGATATTTGACCAACGATTTTGTGATCCTACCGCTTTTTACTCCTTGTCAGTGACTGGCATTCATCCGGTGGGCGAAATTGCCAGTGATCTCAACTCGGTTGTTCCCCTTCTCATCGTTATTTATAGAAACATTAGTTTTGACAATGGTTCTTCGTTGCTACAAGACCTTGAAAGGTCCATTAGACAATCCTCCCTTGCGCCTCATGAGTCTGACACAAGAGCGCTGTTTATTTCGGCTGGTAGGTCTACCATGTAAGGTATATTGTCGTACTCAGAATGTGTCACGCTCACTGACATGGGGTGACATGGGGCGTCAAAAGCTTCATTTAGCATTCCAGACGTTTCTTTCATATTAGGTTTTGCATCACTTTGAAGTAAAACTCTGAACAGTAATGCTGTCGGTAGAATTCGTGAAACTTATTTTGAGTCATTGTGCTGGTTTACTGCATATCACTGGACCCGAGTAGGAATTGTAAAAGATAGAAACAGCAATGTTGGTGAGAGTGAGTCATCTAGCGATATGTCCGTCAGAAGCGGTCAATTGTTATCCTCATCCCAGCCAAGATTTCCCTACTTTTATAGAATAAGAAAGCAACTGACTGGTACCTGGATTCAAGTCATGTTTCACTGTAGCGCCACCATTTCTTTTTTGATTCCGTTGGATTGCCGTAATGGAAAATTGGTCAACAAACGCAGCACCTGTTTACCTTTTCAACAGAAAATCAAGCCTGGTACACTGAAAGAGGAATACCCTATCACCGAGGTTACCTTCTTTACGGCCCTCCTGGTTGTGGCAAGACAAGCTTTATTACGGCGCTGGCAGGTGAGATATTGCTAGAGGAAGTGTTTATTGAGTTGACTTTGTAACTCCTTTGCATATTTTGAAGCGTCTTGTTTGTTTGATGGCGAAACTAGAACAGCACGTGATTCGTGGCTAGCTTTTCTGAGTGAAGTGACAACCTGAATAAATAATGGGTTGTTCAAGAACGGAGTGGAGCAATCGACATGAGCCAAGCACGTCCTCACCAAAAATAATGGTTGATGTGCACGTCTGCATCCAACTGTAGGGTGTTGTTCGAGGTTGTGAGCAATTCTGTCCATTATACACCTTGTTATGAAAATGTTCGTCGTTGGTCAGTGATTTGAGCGCGAATCTGCTGACCGGGAAATCCGTGTTTCGAACCCGACCTCTGCCTCTCAACTTCCCATGTCTGACAGTATCTCAACCCTCGTTCTTCCTTTAGGTGACATGGCAGCTAGGCATCGATTGGGTGTCACGACTGAACGATTATCTTTTACATATTATCTTGTCTTTTTGGCTTATTCGAGCTCACCGTCTGGGTTGGAGACAGCCAAGGCCGCACCTCCTTGCCCACCTGCAAATGTGCGCAAGGCTCACTGGTTGGCTTACAAGGTGATCATCGGAGTGTCTACGAAAGTATGTGGGGTTCTGTGCTTTCGTATGCATAGTTCGTCTATAAAAAATCGTTCAGCTGTAAGATCCTTTCGGTGCCTAGCTGCCATGCCACCCGAAGGAAGCACGAGGGCTTGGATGCTGCCAGGTTTCCCAAGCCTAAACCAGAGAGGTCGAGAGGCAGAGGTCGGGTTTGAACCAGGGCCCTTCCAGTCAGTTAATTCGCACTCTAACCACTTGAGCCATCTCGTCTGTGCTCGTGGAAGAGTCCCTGTGGCATTTTATAGGCTACCGATTTGTCTAACTTCAATGTCTTGTTTACTCATGTGGATTTTTGGTTCGGTTTTTTGTTAGAGGTCTTTCTGATAAATGAGCTATCAGGCATTTGATGATCGTCATAGGCTGACATGCCTGGAACTGCTGTAGCCTAAGACTCGTCAGAGCTACCGAACATCTAGTCAAGTTAACAGACAACGCACATTAGGGTATGCGCACGTAAAAATGCATTCGAGCGGAGGAAGTACATTCGCCTCACCTGATTACACCTTGCCTTGGCAGCCAGGCGAGCCCCTACGCGAATCAACCGATGCGGACGCTTCTGCAGCGCTTTATTTGGACAGGGTGAACGTAGATCGAGTCTGGTCCTGCGAAGACCATTTTGTGGGTGCGTACTCTGTAAGCCATCAGTGGTAGAATCAGCCAACTATACTGACGCTTGTTCGGAGGCTTTCCTAGTTTGTAATTTAGGATACGTCTGGGATTTACTAGATATACCCACGAAGGAACTTCACGCAGCACACAAATGCAGTAGCTGATTGGGACAGGTTTTAGGGTGAATTCTCAAAACTACATCTGGCAGAAATCTCATGTACGCAACCGTACGTAGGAAATAAGTTACAAAAGTTTGACCGAAGTAACACACCTCCCGCATCGGTTTAGCAACAGTTAGTCGGTTCGCCGGACCAAACTAACTCGTTATTTTTCTCTTGGGCTTTTGAGCTTGTTTTCTCATTTATAATAGCCTGAGAGATATCTTCTAGCATTCTTGTGACAATTTACATTCTCACTTTCCAGTCCAGCTCCACTCCACCGGTCTTCCTATGTTGGCCTGCAACTGAATTAGCCCGGCTTCGCCGAGGCCACCGTAAACAGCAGTAGTACTCTGAGTAGATCTTGAAACGTCACTCGTGTTTTCGTCCTGTAAGTGAATCGAAACTGTTCCGAGAAGTCGAAAAGCGGTGATTCGTCGTTTTCAACATAAATCCGCTCCATTTGTTGATGTCGTATTGGTATCGGCCATTTTGTGGCCTAGAATAAATAGGATCTGTAGCGCTCTTTCGCCTTTGCTTTGTGGACCTGTTTCACAGGATTTGCTTCTTTGCCCCCCCGTCCCCCCGAGGACCTAGCACCCAGTTTTATTGTTAACTGGATTGTTGGAGCCGGCCTCTTGGCGATGCTTCAGCGCGTATATGTGCATATTAAAAGTGCCGCCAGCTAATTGCAACTGTGCGTGTATCATTTCGCACCACAAAACCCCAATTCAGGTCATTTGGATTACAGCATCAGCGTGCTGAACTTGAGTGAATTCGGCATGACTGCTGATCGTCTGGACCATCTGTTGACTCATGCACCGCTCCAGTCGATCGTGCTGTTAGAAGATATCGACGCTGCTGTGCACAGTCGCCAGGGTACAGTGACCCAGTCTAAAGGTGAGTGAATCTCTGGGACAATGGGTCTGTCGTCGAATACATTTTGGTCAGTTGCATGTTGACTCCGTCTGCACAGGCATGAGAATGTTTGGACCGCGCGTTTTCGTTTTCGTTGGAATAGACGACTTTGAAAAGTAGTGTTTCCTACTCCTACACTGTGTTGACAAAAGTCATGTTCGGTGGTGTGTTCTTGGCTTTTTTTGGGGATCTGTACATTAGGCTGAGGGTGAAATGCAACTAGAGTTCATCCAAGCTTCTCTAACCACTACTCTTTTAATAATTGTGGCAGAAACCTAATTTTCAGGTAGCAATGCGCAACTTGACCAACAGTGCATCTGCTTCATAGGCTTGCCTTCAAAGCTGCGTAATATCCCGACTCGATAGGAATACTTGATTGGGGATTAATTGCTTTTCATTTATGCCTGATCTGCTCTACCATCCCTGTAAACCGATTCGCGAGCATCGTTTCAGAAGAGCTTGATAAACAATCGGTAGTTTTGATTTGGACAACGTTTCGCTTTTGACACAAAAGCTTCATCAGACCAAGTGAGCAGGTCACCAAATTGGCCAGGTTATAAGGCAGACGGGGAACCAATCAGTAAGTCAGTCCTTTCCAGATTATCACACTAGATCAGTGTTAAGTGTCAATTACGGCTGTTGTCGGTTGGTGAAGTTGTCAAAATCTTGCTTTGGTGGATTAAGGGGGGGGGCGGGTTAAATTAATTCTGATCGGGTTTGGTTCGTTAATCTTCCACTTCAGGGTGCTTCGGTTGATGATTCACTTCGGTTGCCACTTGTAGATTTTCCTTGGTTTTTGTGGGGTCTTGAGTGCTCCTACAATTTAGTGGAACCCAGATGATGACCACTCTTCCTTCTGGTGACCGCACACCAACACGTGTCAGCTCGACTGATCCAGAACCGTTCTGCACACGCTTGCCAGTTCCACATCTTCTATTCTGTTAACACTGGGATGCTTGGCTCTTTCTATCGCCTCGGCGATCAGTCTGTGTGACGTGGACCGTAGTCCTCGCTCAAAACCTCAATATTTTCTAAGTATATTTTGTGTCCCGTGTCAAGTGCGTGTTCCGCAATCGCCGAGTCTTTCAGTAACGCTTGATACTCATCTGCGTTCCCCGGTGGCCTGTTTATTTTTCTACTATGCTCTCCGACTCTGATGTGTAGTTCCCTGCGCTCTGCACTGGTGCAATTGAAGGATCGCCTGCCGGCAAACAGAACCAGGGACTATGTCTACAAAATCAAGTGTAATGACTGCACTACGGTCTATATAGGACAGACGGCCAGGGGACGTGATTCCTGCTACCATATAAATTTGTGATGTATTAGCCAAGAGGAACAACTACAGAAAACAAGCGTTGTTCGCTACCTTTTTCGTTCTCATGACTACCGCGGGTATATTCAGCCACCTGAGAATATTAACCATCGGTTAGGCTAAGATTTGATTGAGCCAACATTTACGTCGACCAGACTGTTCTTCTCTCTTGAGGAGAGTATCCATTCTAGTGACTAAGCTATTCTATAAGAAAGAGTATGGGAAGCAATTAATAACCTGACAGTGAGATTTCATTCCTATTGTAATCACGTCGAAGCATTTCAGTATAACCAAAGGTAGTCTTCAATGTTAGGAAGTTGACAAGTTCGAACAATGCCATTGCGTACAATCCCGTCTGAAGCAATACGTATACAACGGGATAGAGTTTTATAAATGGCGGGTCTCAGAGCTAATGCGATCAGTCACGATGACCAGCGCACACCCAGCACTTCCGACACACACGCTGTAGACCTGAGTCGAACAATCGTCGTATTCTCTGGAAAACGTGGTCGGTAGCACGCGAAAAACTCTGGGTAGGCACCGTTCTGGTTCTTCTTTCAAGATCTTCAGACTGCAACCAGTTCTCTGGTAAGAGAAATAATGGACGCAATTATCGGTTGATGGGACTGATATTGATGTTTCTTTCGGCGGAATTTTCACATTGCATGCAGGTGAGGGCTACATGTGGATTCCACTTAAACTGGCTGTTGGTACACGGAACCGCTGGAGAAACGGCCTCTACTAGTGCTGAAATTCATGCTTTTTTCGCGTCGACTGTGCTTGCAAGTGAAACGATTTGCGCAACTGTCCTACCGCAGCTCCGTTGTGAGCAATGAATCTCATGCTGTTGATCGAGGTTTAAACGGAAGCGCTTGTAAATTTCAACTCATATGGAGTCCTGTTGAGTTTTCGGCTCACAGAACGAGATGTTGTATAATCAGTAGTGTTGAGGTTCGAACACACTTCTTTCACTTGCGAATCAAAGTAATGCCCAAAATTGCTTATCTGTAACACCTGAGAATATTAACCATCGGTTAGGCTAAGATTTGATTGAGCCAACATTTACGTCGACCAGACTGTTCTTCTCTCTTGAGGAGAGTATCCATTCTAGTGACTAAGCTATTCTATAAGAAAGAGTATGGGAAGCAATTAATAACCTGACAGTGAGATTTCATTCCTATTGTAATCACGTCGAAGCATTTCAGTATAACCAAAGGTAGTCTTCAATGTTAGGAAGTTGACAAGTTCGAACAATGCCATCGCGTACAATCCCGTCTGAAGCAATACGTATACAACGGGATAGAGTTTTATAAATGGCGGGTCTCAGAGCTAATGCGATCAGTCACGATGACCAGCGCACACCCAGCACTTCCGACACACACGCTGTAGACCTGAGTCGAACAATCGTCGTATTCTCTGGAAAACGTGGTCGGTAGCACGCGAAAAACTCTGGGTAGGCACCGTTCTGGTTCTTATTTCAAGATCTTCAGACTGCAACCAGTTCTCTGGTAAGAGAAATAATGGACGCAATTATCGGTTGATGGGACTGATATTGATGTTTCTTTCGGCGGAATTTTCACATTGCATGCAGGTGAGGGCTACATGTGGATTCCACTTAAACTGGCTGTTGGTACACGGAACCGCTGGAGAAACGGCCTCTACTAGTGCTGAAATTCATGCTTTTTTCGCGTCGACTGTGCTTGCAAGTGAAACGATTTGCGCAACTGTCCTACCGCAGCTCCGTTGTGAGCAATGAATCTCATGCTGTTGATCGAGGTTTAAACGGAAGCGCTTGTAAATTTCAACTCATATGGAGTCCTGTTGAGTTTTCGGCTCACAGAACGAGATGTTGTATAATCAGTAGTGTTGAGGTTCGAACACACTTCTTTCACTTGCGAATCAAAGTAATGCCCAAAATTGCTTATCTGTAACATCGCTTTGGTACCTACTCGCTGTGAGATTCAAACGAAGCGCGAGATACTGCCCCGTCGTCCAAGCCTAGACCACAGACACTCGGGTCAGTTACTTTGCTCCCCAATAACTGGGACCCCTAGAGCTTGTTTCAACTTACATGCAGACGGCTTGTTTTATCGGGGTGTTTAAAGCTTAGTGCACCTGTCGATGTTGGTCTCAAATAACTCTGGATGGTTGTTTCACCAGGTTGTTCATAGTTGGAAAGATAATGTTCGGTGCACTTGGTAGTGTGAGACCAGCTTGGTTTCATCAACTGAGGTCGTTTCTTTTCAGGTTCACACCAACAACGCAACTAGCTCTGTGTTCTACATGTGTATTGCGACTGACAAAGTGCGCTTATCGGATGGCATTGTTTTTCTTACTGCGTCATGTTCGAATTGACGAGAAGTTCACGGCTTCCAACTTGATCATTATTGAGTTGCGGTGGGTTGTTCCATCTTACGTTCCAGTTTGATAGTTTTCAATCTTTGTTACAACTGTGAATTGTTCGGATCGTTTTCATGTCCGATCTACACTAAGTGAAATGAGGCCAGCTAGAGCCCGCAGATGCTCTGGCAGGGTGTCAGCCAAGTGGCGTGACACTCAGCCAGCTGGCATGAACCGATGATGTACGGAGTGGATCAAGAAAGACGAAACCAATAGTTCAAAGTTTTCGCCGATGGTGTGAATAGTACTGAAACATCTCCGATTTATTCGCAAGCAGACAAAAGAGAATGTTTGCATGAAATAATTATTTTGACATTCGATATTTTGATAGATGCAACCCTATTTTGAGTGAGAGAATGATTTGGATTTGCGCTGTAGGTGTGTTCATTTCTCTGTGTGGTCTGATGGTATGTTTATCTTGCAGTATCTGAAGCCGTGCGCACTCAAAGCTAGTTTTCATTCGTTTTCTCTCTTCTATAGCTTACGAGGGGATGCCAACCTTAACATTGAGTGGGCTTCTGAATGCGTTGGACGGCGTCACTTCGACGGACGGACGTATAATCTTCATGACTACCAATTACGTCGATCGGTGAGTTGTATTTTACCACATATCGTCCATCCGTTGTTTACTGTCAACCTAAAAGCAACCTCTTGCACCCCATTTATAGTTTCCAATCGTCACATTTCTATGTCAAAACGATCTTAAATCGAAGTTCCCGGAACAGTCCATTTATTGAACAGCAATTCCTTTCTCCAATGTGCCTATCGCAAAAAGGAGCTCTCCGTTAGAGTAATTTCGGGTGAACCTATGGATATTCAGTTAGAATTTCAACATCAGACGGGGCATGTTTTCTAACGCACCACGAGGTAAGGAATCTCATTGCATGTGGCGAACCGATTCGTGACCAAAGGGCAATACAGTTTTACTAACCAAAAAGAAAGTAACTTTTCATATAATATCGTTTATCTTTCGAGAACACGGTCACAGACATAAAAAGTGAATGCAAGCGATGAAAGTGAAAGGGTAACAGAAGAATATGAGATAAAAGAGAGAAACGTTTCATTTGAAGTCATGCCACCAACAGTTCCAGTCAGATGAGATAAATCCCAACGTATGTCGAAACTTCGGTATGGGAACACGCGTCTAAAGACCAACAACCGAAGAAAGGACAAACTATGCTGAATACTTTCCAAGGCGCGGTAAGCGCTAGTGCAGTCAAGACTCGCACACCAGGTATACTGGGTCTGGTGTGAGATTAAATGACGAGAATGTACACTCAACGCCATGTGCCACGCATAAAAGTGTCGTAAGTACGCAGAGAGCCCACAATGGCAAGCAAACACAAGTCACTGACTGTGATCGTAGGAAGTCCCAGTCCAATAACAGCCTTGGCGGATTGAGGAAAGCAGATCCCTCAGTAAGAACTGATCATTTGCTGGTGGACCAAAAAGTCGACATCACAAGCGATTCGACGTAGGGCTGAGATTACGGCGGGGTAATACTTATCAGCACCATACTTCTGCTTCTTCTCATTTCACAGTCACTCCGCACCCATCTGAAACTATACTGGCATCTATTGCAGTTACTCGATGCTTCCGAACAGCTATTAGGTCAGGCTTCTGGAAGGACATCGATGTAGGTGCTCTCGACTCCTCCAAGACGGTGTATCTCAGCCGACGCAGACTTTTTGCGAGTCCCATTGCAACCCGATTATGACGAGCACATCTGGCACCATGCATGATCCAGCAGGACTGCAAAATATGCACCAATCTATCCGGTTGGCCACAGTTTTCACGACATAAGATCGCCTGCCCATCATGACCAGGCAAAGCGCTTCTAACGCTCGTCCTGAATAGGTTGCATCGAAGCTGGATACCGCGGATAAAGGAGCTTTTCCATACACGCTCTCCGCTGCATCGGGATTTGTTACACTCAGACTTGGGATACCATGTCCCCCATGTTGTTTACTTGCGTGGATGTAGCTGATCGGGGGGCTAGACATATCCAGTCACGAATATATTGCTTGATGTAACTGTTCAACTTCTTGAGCGTGTTTCGGTGGACTTGGCCGATCAGGAGCGGATATGTCAGCTTCCTAATACAGTCTTTATTGGGATCGGCTCTCTTACATAACGCCTAATATCGGAAGGAACGTGTGTGATGTAAGGAAGGGTCAAGTGGTAAACCAAAATGAATCAATAATTTTCCCAGTGTTTTTTTAAGTCCATGCGTTCCGCCGCCAACAGCCTCAAGCTTTTCTCAGCGACTTTCATCTTGATGTCTGTGCTTTGCTTTATCGCGCTTCCTTTCCGTGTGATGTCGTCATTTTCCTGACTTTCCACAGAACAGAACAAAACAACAAAGCCACATTTACCAATTCCACTGTGCTATTTTAATTTTGTGCTTCTGTCCAAAAATTGGACTACAGCGCAACAGTGATGGCATGTGGATCGACCAAATCAGAAGAAGAGGGCTACTAAATTAGGGAATGTCTCGCAGCTATCCAACTGAAGGGAATGTCGGGTGGAAAACACGCGAAAATGGCAAAACAGACATATCGGAACGAAGGAACATAGATACCAATATGAACAAACCAATTGTAAGATAATCACACCACGGTGCAGCGAAAATTCCAAAGTGGTCAATCGAAAACGCACAAGTAATCCACAAACATCCAGTCGGAAGCTATGTAGGCGCTACAGGTAGGGGAATTACTCGCCCAACCACCTTTTATATCGTGCAGAAATATTTGCAAGTTCGGCGAACCGGTCAACTGTCACGCAATCAACAGTCAGTTTCTGTAGTACATCTCACGATGCGCTTGTACGAGTTCTCAGTGAGTATTACACTAGCAGTACAAGGCCTGTACTCTCCCTCTCTGGACGAAGGAAGGAGGAGAGTTTTAGTTTTCGGAAACTTCGTCTGAATTTATCACGAATTCAGCACCACGGTTGGTGCTTATCGACTTTTCGAACAAGAAGTAAATCCATGTGATTGTTGGTAGTGTGAGAAGATTTGAGATTTTTTGTGGCGATTTCGTCCTGTAAGTGAAGCCAATCTATGCTGAATTGCTGAGAAGCACTGCACAGCTGTTTCATCCTTACTGGGAATCATCAGCAGTGCGCATCTCACGAAACTCCGGAGAGTCTCGAACCCGCGACCTCCTAGCTAGTAGTTTGAACACTTAACCGTTCGGCCACGGGTGACTGATCAGCAGTGGGATTAACTCGTACTTAGACAATATATAGCGCCGCTCATCCTTCAATCACGGGATCCACATCACGTGGTCACACGTGCTGACTGGCTCCTCGAGCAACGACTTCTCAGGGAAGTTTCACTCATCGGGTGAAGTTTATTCTTCCACCGAGCTACTTATAAATTGTTGGTAGTGTGAGGAGATTTGGGAAGTTTTTAGATTTGAGAAGATTTGGGAAGATTCGAGAAGTAAATCCATGTGAGTTTGACGATGATTCTTTATGGTGAAATAAATTGGCTTGCGTTATTCTAAGTGCTCAATGGAATCAGACACTTTTGGGGACAGTCCTCTCAATAGTGAAATACACCATTTGGTCCGGGAGAACTAAGTTAAGTAGAAACTGTCTTAGAAGTTCTTATGATTGAGGCTGCAAACGTGATTCATTTCATTCTTAAGTGAAGGCCAGTTCAACTTGTCAGACTTTTATTCATGACGCTTTCTGAACACTGCGTGTGTGTGCCAATGCTTGATGCGTTCGCATATTTGGCTGTTACATATGTTGGTGCTGTTTTCCTCAGACCCTCGTAATTTCTGAACCACTGAGGCTTCGTCTACATCGTTTCTCTTTTTAGCTTGAGCTTTGCCCTATTCACGTTTTGTTACCTTTTAATTTTAGCTTGGATCCTGCCCTCATTCGACCAGGTCGAGTAGACCTGAAGGTGCACGTAGACTATTGTGATCGATATCAATTGGAACGCATGTTTTCCAGGTTTTATCCCATCCCTGGACGACCGCCAAAACTATCACCTGATGCAGACTGGCGCGGATTGGATGAGAAGTCCAAGATGGAACCTATGACCTCTATGGAAGAACTGCATCCATTAGCTGCTAAATTCGCTGATAGCCTGGTAGGAGTGGCGGTCAGTTCCGCGCAGATTCAGGGATACCTGCTCACCTACAAAGAGGATGCTGCCGGTGCTTTAGCCAACATTGATCTACTGCGACGTGCTGGAGTGAATCGGAATGAACTAAAGCGCAGCTCTGAGCAGTCGTTTTCCGCTGTTTAGGAGACAATTATAATGGTGCTTTTTTCTGAAATGCATCTCTTCATGACCCTTGGGATGGTTGCCTAACGCCTCTGTCTTTTGTTCGGACGGTTGGGGTTCGACAGCGCTACTGGGAAGATTAACGAATCTTTTGAATCTATTCTGAGAATCAGTACTGTTTGATGCTTATCCATATATTGGTTCTGGGTTTTGAATGGCTTCCGGGTTCCACTGACTTTTTCGCCAGTGGCAAATCTAAGCTAGACAGTTGTTATCAAATCGTATGCGTGGGGTAATCATCACCAATGCAAATAAAGAAGCCTGTGTCATTCCAAACAAAAGAGATCATGTTGGGAAATTTATTGATTTGGTAATTCTTAATGGGGATTTCCCGCTGGAAGTGAAACCAATCTGTACTCAAAAGCCCAGTGTATGGCTGTTTCATACCTAGTGGGAATCGTCAGCAATGCGCGTTTCACGAACCTGAAAAGAGGTTCGAACTTGCAATTTCTCTGCCAGTGGTTGAAGGGACCACGAGTAGCTGATCATCGGTGTCGTTGACTCGCATATAGACACGATATACTGCCACTCATCCTTCGATCAGTAGACTCACAACACGTGTTAATTAGCCCTTCTGGTTACGACTTCTCAAATAGAAGATTTACTCGTATGAAGTATTCCGTCTGCTCTGTTAATTGCTTGTTGATGAAAATACAATTCCATCCTGACCGACATTAAGAAGTTTCAAAATGTGGAAAAAATAAGGTGTTTGTGATTCAAAGATAACTGGTAATTTGGTTAAAAAATTGCCAAACAAGTCTCGTCAGTGCACAAATCAGTGAACAGCTAAGATCCTCGGTTGTGTTCAGGATGCACAAGTCATGTTCACTGTAAGAACCGGGAAAATAAGGATCTCATGACAATTGGAACTATCTGACTACACGCAGTTCGTTTTCTGTGGGCAGTATGAACAAACTGATAAGGGAAGTAGATACCGTACTGTTGAGAAATGGTTCTATGAGCAAACAAGTTAATAAACATCTTGAATTAAGCAGAACGTACAATCAACAATAGCGGAATCGGTTGGGGCAGAAAAACAAGGAATGAGGCAGAAGTGTTTTCTGGAAGCAATAGGTATTAGGTACTGAAAGACATGTAGGCGTATAGATGCGGCCACTCAGACAGTGTAAATGAGACCTATACGGAGAAGGTCGCAGGAATTAAGGGAAACTGTCTGAAAAATGGGTATCGGGTGAATTTGGCACAGCTTATCTTTAGCTGACGACGTGATGCACCACTTTGTGTCACGTGTCGAATCGGAATGCGCGCCCAGGCCCATTTAGAACAAAGGTAATACAAAAATAATACGGCTGTAGAATTCGAGTTGGTGTAACGGGTAACGTGCTCACCTTCTGTTCAAGGGGTTCGTATTTCCGTCCTCCGTGGAAACACTTTACCAGGCAAACACTTAAAATTAGGTAGAGTTGACACGTTATTGCAGGCGAAGTTGAGCAGGGAACAAGATATTGGCGTTAATAACCAGAGTGTAAACAGAATTCAGCGGTAGCAAACTCCGGGGAAAGAGCAGCAAACAAGCAAAATGGCGTTGTGATAAACAGGTGCAAGTCCGGCTACTCATGGGTAGTCAGATTAAACCGCCTCTGATTCTCAACATCTCCCATTTCGTTTAGTATTGGATACGCAATATTTCCGATTTCACAACACTGCCAACTGGTTATATGACGTACAGAAAGCAGTTCGAGCCTTCAGGGTAGAACACGCCCTACACAAGTAATTATATTGATGAAGTCAAACAACGAAAAAAATTCAGGAATAAATGCTACAGCCAGATGTATATTCACTTTTTACGAACGCAAAATTATTAGGTAAGTGGGCGATCCAGTAGAGCTCTTCCTGTTACTCTTTTACTCCCAGTTGAGCTGAAGAATGGAGTTAACGTTTACACGTTTTAGATCATAGTTGGATGGACAACAACGGACTCTCTTCATGAATTAGGTTATACAGATTATTTGTCTAAACTGGAAAGCTCGATGCTTATTACCTCCGGTGACAGATAGTAGATGGTGAGTGAAGAATAACACAAGCGGTATCAAGTCTGGTATCCCGTCAATACCATTCGTTTTTTCAAGTGAATGTATCTATTTGATGTACAAGTATGACAAGGTTAGTGATACATTGGGGTCGACGTCTACCCAATGAAACCCGAGAAGAGCAACACCGGTAGTGTGTTGTCGAGGGGTTTTCAAGTCCCTCAGTAAGACGACTGAGCATTGCAGTGTGCATGAGCATAAGAACTCGTCAACCTCAACTTTGTAGTCAAGCCCTATTAGCACAGACAATGATGCTCTTGTGTCCGGCTTATCAAGTCAGATCATGTGACTCCAATGCCAAACACACTGAGGTTTTCCCACTCGACGGAAACCTTTGGGCGTAGATTATTCATGAACGCAGAAAATATGTTAGCGACTGCATGGAGCCCTTTTGGACTTCAAGACTGACGCTATGTGCTGGCAAACTAACTATCGTGAGGATGTGATAGAGACTAGTTCGCTAAACAGTTAACATCAACGGTGCGTGCTATAGTAGCAGTCTGGTGGGAAGGTTCCTAGGCCCCATTCGACTGAAAGCCTCCGACTGATCAACCCCGTGGTTAGTATAATGGTGGCGTCAAAATTCATATTTCTTAACGCTTAGTGGGGCGCCATCTTCAAAATTACGCTGAACAGGTTCGTTCAGAGTGAGCCGGTGAATATGGGACAGGATGAAACTCGTCCTAATCATTGGAGCGATAAAGTAGGCAAGTTTTACCAGGGTCTAAAGTGGATCCATGCTCGGTGCGGCGTACGGGGGAAGTTTTCTACATACAAGATTGGCAGGAAGGGATACAGGTTAATGTCGATTGGCTCTAGTCCTGGAGCGCAATACTAAAGCAAGAGGACTGAGTAAAAATCCGAAATGGGAGGTCTTTTTGCGACAAAGCGGAGAACAGATTGATAAGTTTTTCTACTGATGCTGGTGTATAGCGAAAAGTAATGGGTTTTGATAATTAGACAAGAATATCTGCTGAGAAAGGTATTTATTTAACTACGATCAAAAGCCGAGGAGTTATTTTGCAATCAGGAAAGTGAGGGATGGTGGGTGATTCTGGAATGAAAAGTGCTGCATTTTCGCAACCAGATTATAAGTCGGGTTGTCTTCTATTGAAGGCAGTTGTATTCTGGTTTCACTGGTTGGTCACATTGCCTCTTACTTCCATTTAAACAGTGCAAATAACCTTGTTTTCGTTTCACTGTATCCCGTTTGGAACTTATTGTGGCAGAAGTGGTACGAAATGAACTATTGTTCATAGACAGAAGGGCTTGTACTTCGGTGTACGCTGACCAGCACTGTTCGCAGCAGTTCTCTGGAGCCATTGGGATGTTACTGCATTTATGATTGTTTCATGGCAAAACCTGAGAGAGGGGCTGTGCTCTCACGAAAGAGCCCAATGAAATGTCACCTCGAGCTAGTTGTCGGAGTGAAACATCCCAACGCGATCTGCTTGTCTAGGTCTCGGGGTCTGATGCACGAAAGAAGGCATTATCTGCGCTGCACTACTCTGTCCAATAGCTGATCAGAATGGATCGCCAAACCATAACCAATCACATGTAGATAGTCAGGGACCAATGAGATTATCGCGTGGGTGATTCGAGGGGCTCATCATTTAATGCTTAGGGTCTCTGCAGGAGACAGTACGGTCGTCTATCGGGGACTTATGCGATGTGGACATGGGTCAAGTTGTTATTATACTGTTTACTGGTATTGCTATCGGATGTAGACGGTGAGTACTGCATACATTTTACTGGAATGGCTATTGTACATGTGCTATTCCACCTACGCGTACTTCATGTAACGCTGAAAATATCGAATAAGGCTTGTACTTATGTCTTGTGATTGTTGCGACAGTTGAAACCTCGGAGTGGTATTCGCTCTCATTCGTCCGAAAACATGGTATTAAAAGTAATGGTGATGCTAACAGTGGTAACAATAATGACTTACCCAGGCTCAACGACATCGGAATGTTAATCATTCTACTAAGCTGTTGAAGTTCATTGGTTTCTGCAATGGCACTCCAACATGCTTCTCCCTGGTAAGCCCATCTCTAATGGCTGCGCATGATAATCACCCTCGGTGTCATGATACAACTTGAAGGAGCTACATGGGGGATGTACCGCCACAAAACGTTCCGCATTTCGCCGCTTTATGCAAACTACCGAGTTCATTATAAACTGACGATAACGGAGTAAGCATAAAGTTCTGGGTATCGGGTGTCATCCTGCTCATAAGACTGCCAAGAGATCGCGAGGTGTGACCAGATGGTCCACACGTTTCATCTGACGCATCTGACATTTAATCGCTTCTAGTTACTCAACAGAGAGTCAGAGCCTAGTGAAATTCCGTAACTTTAACCCACCTGGACCACCCAACCTAATGGTTTTCGCTCACAATACCCTACCAAGTGTTTGGAACACTTCAGTAAGAAAAGAGAAGATGCGACTCGTGATGCTTGCTCCTTTGAGCAGTCACCGATCTTTGCACAAACTCTGAATGTCAATTCCGGAACCTCGTTTTCTACCTCTCTGTAACTCCGTTAAAATTGGACAGTCATTAGAAGCTCTGTCTGTCTACTGAAGACCAATAAGTTGGGTCTTCCATTAGGGCACTGTGAGTGCCATTAAACGAATCTAGAAGCGCATGTAGCAATCAGACTATCTGTTCTCTCTCTTCATTCAAGCAATTCCACTGAACGATTATCATGAAGCTGGTCACTCGTTTTTATTAATATTGGGCTATTCAAGAGAAATGGACACAGAATGTTTTTCCAACGTAATTCTTTAGTTACAGGAGAGCAGTTGCGATATCCTTTGCTTTGTCCAGAACAACAAAGTGCTTCACAACACGAATTTGGCCACACCGCCTGCTCTGTATTACAAACCTACTGACGACACCTAAGCTGTGTGCCGACTGGTAATCCTTGTGTTACTGTGTAGACTGTTGCAGAGGAGTA